TTTCTGAACTCTTTCAGAACTCCTTTCATTGGTTATCATTTCAGTTATGATTCAGCCTCAGGGCAGTGAACAGCCAGGTATTCTGTTTTGTTRAAGCACAGAGAATTCCAGGTGATGAATACTCTCTTCATGACAATCACACTGAAGGATTGTTCTCACTTAATTACTCTGCTCATTTGCAAAAATTGATGACCTGCCCTGGCATGATGAGTTTTCTTTTCTGGAATATCTTCAAATATATTTGAAAAAATTATTATTGTGCATTTATACTAATTCTGACACATTTCTTTATATCATAAACCTGATATTATTGCAGAAAACCTAAGATTGTTATAGGGGCTGACCAAAAATCCTTCACCACTTGTTGGAYTGTATGTAAAGCTTAACTTCTAAAACCAACCAGCAAATGGTTGTGTCATGTAACAGGCCAAATGTGGGGTATAAATTGACTTTGCCTCAATTCTTTCYGTGATGAATGAACATTCTGTTCTGAGAAATAATTGCTTGGATGAAAAGGTCGCACACATCAACCACAGAGTGCAAATGGTTACTCCYCAAATCCTTGTTAAGCTAATTTGATAGGAAGCAGGAATTTGTGTTGGTGTTTCTGAATTCTGTATAAAGCCCAGTGCTCAGAAGGAACCATTCAGTCATTCCCAGAGTGTGGCACTGTTTAAAATCATTTAACACTCACAGACAGAATTCCATAACCACCCAGCACAGCACAATCACTTGATATAGAGTCAGACATTAATTAGCAAGGGACAGACAAAAATGCTGAATTTTAAGTACTTCTGGAAGCACCAACATTTTCAATAAGCAATGAGAACAAAAAGCAGTGTTGTATCAAAGTCATACATGTGATGCCATRCAAAGGTCATGTAATTATTGAGATAGCTACACGCATTCCTCTTAAATAAATCATCTTTATGAAAAAGGAATGTGGTGAAAAGGCAATAGATCAAGGGAACTTGTGTCTGGATAAATTGATAACCAAAATTATGAATTAGATTATTTTGACCTGTGGAATTTGGTGCCATCTGAGAGCAAACAGCAGACAAATTTTATGAAAAACTTTAGAAAGCCAACATACTTCAAAAAAATGAAAAAATTTGCTTTGTTATGTTTTGTTTCACAAACACAGCATAATAAATAGGAGCTTAAGACCAAACTTAGGCCAACAAGATTAAAAGTTCCTTTTGTTGTAATTGTGAATTATTGACCACAAAGTGATGTAGGTCCTTCCCTCAATATGCTCTGGAGAGGATTATTACACGGATTGGTTTAGGAGGAACTGAGAGCACAGCTCATATGTTGGGCCATCTTTAGGCAAAATTTTAGTTTCTCTGTAAGACTATGAGCAGAACGTGAGGTCAGCTGGTTTTGAGGACACGTGTAGAAAGCAAAAAGGGGAATGAAGACAGGTCAAAAAAGAAAGGGTGCATGGTGAAGCTAGGGCATTATTCTGGATTACCATGGGATGCCATGGAGCCATTTATAATCAGACCTGAATATGTCCCTGATCACTAAAGATTACACTGAAAAAACTTATTAGTTCAGGGAGTTTCAAAAGAAACCAGTTAATACCCTCAATTGAGGAAAGATTGTTCTCCTGCATCTGCTGAAGATCTCTGTGTCAGCATTAAAGTTCCCAGTCTGTGTGTATATAGCAGCAATTCATTTATATTTCTCTATACATGTTTATTTTCATGGCAAAGTCACATTCACTGGGTATTTTTGAGACTATAATACATCTTGGGTGTTCTGGCTAAACTCATGCTGCCAAAATTGTCAGCAAAAAGACCGGAAAAACTGATGAACCTTAAACTTTTCCCCAAAGAACTGCTCAGTTGTTTCTTCAGGATATGGAAGAGGCAGAAAACCCAAGCAAGAGGAGTGGTAGGAAACCAGGGGGGAAGGATAGAAATTGCTGTCTGACATGGTTTTCAGAAACCTCTGTGTTTAATCTTTTAGAGACCCTAAAACAATAATCCACAGTATTTGGCATTTTAGGAGTTTTAAGAGGTTTGACTAAAGGAAAGATAGTTCTGACTTCAGTTCAGTGCTCTGCTTATTCACTAATTTCTTGCTTTCATGTTGCTCAGGGGTTTAATACCTTTATAAATCGTACAGGTAATACATTCAGAAACACCTAAATACCATTTTTGAAAATTATCTTCTTAGATTAAGATCTCCAAAGGTATGTGCAACATAATTCCTGACAGTTTTAATGTCAACAAAACAAACTGAAGAAACAGCTCTTCAATTTCTCAGGACGGCTGTCTCTGTGCGAATGAGACTTGTGCTAAGAGCCAGTTAGGTATTTTCAACTAGAATGCCATATAATTTAAAAACTGAATATGTGTATAAAAATAAATACTACCGTGGATAATTCTTATTCTCCTCCGTGGGTTTGTCAGACCCACAGGGACAGCACTGTGGTTTGTGGGCTCCTCTCCCAGCAACTCCTGTTAACGTCAGAATTACTTGAGCAGCTGAATCTTCATACCCCACACTAAGAGTTTACTCTTTGGCATTTTTTTTTATTTCATGTGCCCATATCTCTGGTTATTTCCACCAGGTTTACTTCAGTTTCTTGTCATCCTACAAATACTTCTAATTACAGCTTTATGCTATTACTTACTGAGCTTCTCTGCTGTAGTTCTTTGTATTTGGAAAAAAAAAAGATGAAGATGAAGATGAAGATACGGTCCCTGCCCCAAGGAGGTTATAATTAAAACAAGACCAACATTATAGAAACATATATTCTAGCAGGCCTCTAACTGGATGGTCTGTTTAGTTTTGTTTTGACGTTTTGTATGAAGCAGCATTTAACAGATGTTGGGAAATTAGCTCTCTGAGCTTCTCGTATAAACTTCCAGCAGAGATGCATGCATATGAATTAATCTCATCACTGAATGTGGGTATTAATGTCATCAGGCATTTTTAAATGTTTGTGCCTATTGAGTCCTCCTTGCCAGAAAATACATAAAAGTCTTGAGAGAAAGTGCCTCTGTTGTAGCAATTCTTTGTAGCAGTGAAAGATGTTGCCYTGGACCAGCACAACAGTGGGGGAGAACAATGAATAAAAGCATCAGCTTTTTCATTAAATATCCTCTACACACAATGTTGACCAAAAAAGCCCCAAAAACCCCAAAGTGGAGGGGTGTCCCTGTATCTTTACACCATGCTGTCCCTCTTATTATAAGTAATGCTAATTTATTGTGCAATTCCTGCAGTTGATGTTCTTGTGGCTGCTCATATCCATGCTGAAACAGCCTACATCCAGCAGGGTGACAGATTTTCCCACTCCTCCTCTTTGCCAGGAGAATCAAGTGCTGAGGATTAGATTCCCTTTCACAGCTTCCAGGGTAAAATCAAACCAGCAAGAAGTGAGGGGCTGAAAAAGCAACATTTGCCCTTCTGTGCTGTATACAGGCAAGAAAACAAGGCAGGGCAGGCAAAGGATGGAGGCAAGACCTGGGACAAAACCTAAAACAGAATGGAATAAGAAGGGAAGTGTAGCTGACAAATGACACAGAGATTTCATAATTTCCATTTGTATTTAATGTATTTTGCATTTCACATCTGTATTTTTTATTTTTTATTTTGTGGCCTCCTTGGTTTCGTTTTCATTCCATGAAGTCTTAAGTGTTTCTAAAGCAATGGCTGTGATTTTAAAAGATCATTTCACACCCACCCCACTATTACAACAGATGTGCAATATTAATTTAGGATGAATGGGCACAGATGTTATCAAAATCACCCTCTTACCTGTCAGCTCCACCAAATTTTCCAGTATTTGGATATTTTCTTCCACTGCTGTATGGAATTTTCTTTTAATGTTCTGTGTGCTTTTTTTTTTTTTTCCTCAGATGTTTTATCCAGTTGCTGAACCTGCATATGGCTTCCTCCTCTATCAGCTGTCAGAGCTAAAACAATACTTTATGACAATTACTGAACAGAAAAGCAGCCTCTGAAATACTGATGTGATTAGGTGTGAGGCCAAGAACTTGTGCTGAGTGCTGGAAGAGCACTTTATAACCACAGCAAATCAGTAAATTTGGGCTGCACAACATGGCAGAGGAGAAGTGATGTGATGTGAAATATGAGTTGGGGAAGAACGTGAAAGAGATGGAAGTGAAAATGCATATTTAAAACTGGGTTTTCATTTTCCAGTGTCACCAAAGTGAGTTAACTCCTCAGCTTTTCTTTGCTGACTCTGAGTTCTCTTCCTTCCTTCGATATTGTGCTGCTAGCACACAACTGCACAGCAAAATGTGCAGATATGAACATTCTCTGTGCCCCAGGCCTGTGAAAAGCTATTGCAACACAGCACTAAATTTAAACTAATGCACCCTGGCCCTAGCAAGGACTAATAGCTCAGGATCAGCTTCATGCTAACAGCTTTTGAGCTGTCTGGAATGGAGGCAAAGTGAGTTTYATCTTCCCACAATGTACTTTGTGGAGCTATCCAGATTGGGTCTAATTTGGAAGAGGCATTAAAAGCTTTCTTAATACATGAATGTGCCACACACCAACGAAAAGCAAAGTGCATTGCAAACGAGGGAAGCATCAMTGCCCATATTTCATGATATGCAGTATTAGGACAAGAAAAGGCARCCCAAAGGTCAGGTCTGGAGTATGGTTCATGTCTCCATTACCTTATCCACCAGAAATATTGCTACAACTGGCAGTTGAAGGATTGCTCATATTCTCCACTAATATTCAATCTCATTATTCTTTATATTAAATCCTGTGTTTATCAACAAATGGGTAAGTTAAAAACCCTACAGTGCACTCTACACACCCTGTTTTTTCCTAGTTTAATACCTACAGCATCAAAGCAGAAGTATATCATTCTGTTGTGAAAATGTTCTTAATTTTAATTCCTGTAAAATGGAGTAAGCAATAACAGTGCCCCTATAAAAATATGTGTTGGTTGCCACACATCAAGTTTCATRTCTTTACATAGAAAGTGAAAGAAAAAGCTCCTAATTTCCTCTAAGTATGCTTTGGTTTTAAATTACTTAATGTTCCAATTAATTTAAAGACGTTGATTGTATGCAACACACAATGTCCTGCATTGCTCTGTCTGCCTTTGTTGCTTAACTTTATTTTCCAAAAACATGATATAACATTAATGACRTATCCTAGCACAGAATTCAAGTGTTTTAACTTGGTTTCCTTCTGGGGCATTGTATCCGGGAGTCATTTGCATTTAAACACCTCAGGTTGTTTTACAGATGTAGCAATAATTGTGCTATTTAGAAAAATGTGCTGCCATCGTATGGACAATATTCAAAAGTGCAAAAAACGGCTTTTAAAAGAAAAATTGGGGAACAGATAAGTGCATTTGTTATCGTGAGTTAGATGAATTATAAATATGTATTATATGATATAAGAGCTTTGCAAAAATCTGTGTGTTTAACACTGCTAATGGAATCAGGAATTCAATTCTGTTTATTTTCAGCTCAAGAAATCTTTTCCAGTGAGCACAGAGTGATCAAAACACRCAAGTCTCCAAGCCACTTTTAATCAGCACCTGATTGCAGCATTACCTGCTTTTGTATTCATTTCTGTATCTGTTTATCTCTTTGTTTTTCCTCTGAGTCTTTACAAAATTTGTTTTTGTAGAGCCTGCATTGCTTTTCTTCCACACAAATGCACACACAAACAACATCAGCCAGCCCAGGCACTCTGCCCACAGTTCTCATTCCTGCATGAGTTCACACAAAGCTTTGTTGCAAAAATGGTTTTGGTTTAAGACCTCTTCTTGTTTCCTACATTTAATCCCGAGGAAAGAGGTTTAGAGATGAAATAGCTGCATCTAATACCAGTAAAAGTTCACAATGGCCAAGTTAGAAAAACTCCCTGTGGGTGCCTAATTTTCTTTTGACAATTTTACCTTACTCTCCAAGTTGTTAGAAATGACTATGGATTGGAAAATGCTGTGGGTGAGAGGTAAATGGAACATGGTGATGCATGGAAAAGGCTGCTGTAAGTCTCTAGTCTGTATCAGTGTGCTCAGTTTGCTTACTTGAGAAATAAGTGATTAGAATACATGGACAAAAGTAAAAAAACTAAATTTATATCCATGAATTTGAAGATAATATCAAGATATAAATCTCACTTGTGATTTAATAATTGGCAACATTGTGCTAGATGGAGGATGGAACAAGCTCAGTACCAACTTTCTTTCAGATGAACTTTAAATGTCAAAGTATCCCATGATACTTTGCATGTGTTTGGTTTTCAATGTTTTGGAAACTGCCCACTCGCCCTTTAAAAAATTGTGACACTGGTTTGGCTTCAGAAATATTGGTTAAATATACTCTGAAAGCCACTAATTAATAAAAATCTATCAGGTTTCCTGGATTCTGATAACTTTTTCCATCAGTGAAGGTGAAAATGGGTAAATGAACCTTTCCTGATTTACAAATTTTTTATGTGTTTCATCAAATTTTAATAGTTTKTTCCCAATATAACCTTACTGAGTTAATGAGATTATGCAATATTACTAATAACAGACTTYCATTTCCCCTTTTAAAATAAACATMTCTAAAATCTAAACAGAAAAGAAACAAAAATCACAGTCTCAGCAACCTCTCCTGGCTGTAGTCTCAGGCTTTTGTATTCTGTCTTTTCATGAATCTCATTCTTTTTTATACCCTTCTGGATGAGCTTCAGGTTTTTCAAGCATTCTACTTTCTTCAGGACCAACATTTTTTGTCATTATTATCCAGTGGTTCTTTTCTTCTTCAACTCTGTGGGAGTCCAGATAATTGTGACAAACAACTTCAAATTCTCTTCCAAAAAAAGACCTGCAAAGTCAAAAGAGAGGAGATGATAGGCAGGAAGAATTAATATGTATACAAATTCAGCAAATCTTCATTACTTGTGAATTGTTCMAGATTTTCTCATTTTCCTCTTGGCTTGGTCAGAAACATCACCATGCACTTTCAAATACCAGACCCTTACAAGAAACACAATAACCCACTTTGTTTCCTATGAASATTTGAAAATCCAAGAGAAATGACACCTTTCTAGCTCAGAGCTAAAAGGAGCAGAATAAGGCCCTGACACTCCAATTTGATATGTACAACTGGTTAGGCCCTGATCCCCATTTCTCTCTGACTGAGGAACACTCTGTCTACTGAATAACCTCTGTTTCATCCTCAAAAACCTTATACAGATCCTCACTCAGGTCTGGCTAAGAAGTTAATGGGAAACATTGGCATACTCCTTAGCAGTGCTTAATCAGTATTAATTAATGCATGTATATTAACTGGAATTGTTGGATTAACTTCAATTTGTTGAGACATTGATTCAGATGGGCATAAGCACATAGTGTGGTTTTATTTAGCTCCCTTGTCCCTTACACTTTTTATAATAGATTTTTTTTCATTCAAAAGTAACCTAAACAACTGATATTGCTCAAGATATTCAAAGCAAGAACCACCAAGAAGCTAGATAAAATTAAAAAATATATGATAATGAAAAATGAAAAAAAACCCCAAACAAATAAGACGGAGCCAATTATCTGCAGCAACACAGTGGCACACATTACAGCCAAGAAGTAAAATAAGGGAAAGGAGAATGGCATTGTGCATCCTTTTCCATTTTCCAGTGTGTTCCTAAAGCACCTCTCCTGCTCCTTATAGCAATTCCTGAAGTTGGCACATCCCTGTGCACATCCCTGCCAGTTCTGAGTTGTTCTTACCTGACACCGAAGGTCCTTGGAATGGCTAAGTTGCGATTGGTGTAGCAGTGAGTAATAATGATTTTACTTTTTGCCTAGAAATAGAAGAGCAAAGGAAGACACTTGACAAACATTTTTAAACCAATATTGTGGCTAAAGACTGTCTTTAGCAATTTGATAATTTTGAGTGTGTTTATTAGTGACCTGATTCATGTAAATGAGTTCAAGGCTGTAGTTGTATTTGTGATATTCTGCTGTACACCAGCACTGCAGGAAGCCTTGTAGTTATCTGGTACAGAAAAATACTGTATTWACAAAAGGTTTCATCTGGAAAATCATCCATTTATTTGGATGCCTTCAAAATTTTATTAGATATTTAATGTACAAGAGCTCTTATTTATTCACATATCCAAATATTGGAAATGGACTCTAGTGTCTCAAAAGGTGTGGAAAACACGTAAGTACTGAGCCCTCACAACATTATAATGTCATGAAAATTTCTTTGAGAAAAACTGAACAAGTCAACCTCAAAATGAACACCAGAAACAAATATTTCTAAAAGGAGATTCCCTAATTAAAKAGATTGTTCCTTCCCTCTCCCCCTTCCTAAAAATATAAGTCAGAAGTGGCATAAGGGAAATGTGTGAATAAATAGGACTCCACCTGTTTCAATTACATTTTCATAACATTTCCTACAGTTTTAATTTCTTACATGAATTGGCAATCCTTCAGATTCCAGACGCAGTTGTGGATCCAAGATCTTAGCATGCCACAAAGCCAAATAGGAAACCTCACCTGTCAAAAATACTTTYTGGAGGCGAGATTTTTTAGCAAATTCTCGAAATGTTTTATGGTCACTTGCCAGATAAAACTGTAAATAAAAATATACATTAAGGACAGGATTAATATTTAAAAAAAAAAACAAGATATATAATTTAAAATAATCTTTTAAACACAAAATCTTTTCTCTTGGCTCCTGATAGATCAGTCTGCCCAAAAAAAAGTATGCAGGTAAMACCCATACCTATTCTATAATTTTGATACATTCATTATGTAGTTATTCTATATGCAGATTAGTGAACACTAATTTAAAATTGAATTTACATTCCAAATATTTTTATCTCACCACAGTGGTTGTTGGTAAGGAAAAATTTTTCAAAGTTGTGGTGATTTATTTTGAATGCATATGTACATGTAATGCCTTATTTGCTTTTAATTTCCAGAGGGAAAGTATGTTWCCATGTAATAGAAATCTGCTCTCCCAGAATGATAGAATAGTACATGACTTTATATTCCTGCTATAGGTTATCTTCATAAGAAAGGAAATCTTTTCATTTTGGAGTTTCACAGAATAWTCTGAGTTAGAAGGGACCCACGAGGATCATCAAGTCCAACTGTTGAGTCGTTCCAAGTTAAAAAAACCAACTCTTTGATAAATTGTTTCATGATCCACAATCTAATGGTGATTTCCTTCTTTCTTTCCTTTTTCAGATCTCCTTTATTCAGACATTCTGGCTATCAGCCCCCTTGGTCTGCACACCTGACCTCAAGCAAATTGGATAAACTTTCTAAATAGGTATTGCTTATCTTGATCTATGCATGGTTCTGAGTCTKTTCTGCAAAGCTAACATGTAGAACCACTGTACAGCTTTAAATATCTATATTTAGAGAGGGATTCAATGCACATATTGCCTTACCATTTTTTCTGAAACCCCTCCTTTTGTCCCAAGAAGAAATCTTTGCCCGTATCTAACKGGTTCGCCCACTGCACTTCCATCAACGCTGTTAAAATTGTAAAAAGGAAACAAGATTCATTCAAATAATCAGTTTTACTATTATTTAGGTTTTGTGTCTGTTTTGGTTTCCAGTTATATGTTTCTTTCTGACGACATTTGGTACTGTTTACAGGTAAATAGGTAAAAATAGGTAAAATCAGTAAAATGTCTTAATCTAAGGCAGAGCCTTTGACTATTGAGCAGGACTCTGTTCTGTTTCTTCTCCAACAAACAGCAGCAATTAAATTAATATTTCAGAGAGAGAATATGCTGGGTTTTTTAGGACAACAGAACAATGTCCACTTCATGTGTCATGCATGAAAAATGATACATATTTCTGCTAACAGGAGAGTAAACTTYAAAATCAGTGATACTTGAACATGTTTTGTCTACAACTGGAATATGATCATAATAAAAACAGCTGCAGAATTTACCAAATTATAGGGTGAGCTCCATTCTGTTTTCACACCTGACTTAAAGGTCCTTGAAATTAATCAGGGTAATATGCAGCATAGAATCAAGCTTAATGCATTACTGAAGACTCTTTCTTAAAAAAGAAATCAAGGTTACTCAAATCCCTTTGTATATTAGCAAATTTCATTGCATATTTCTCAAAACAAGATACCTAAAGCTACAATAATAATTGAAAACAACTCAGACTAAAGTAGCAGACCTTATAATACAGAAAGCATTTCGACCCACAGGCTGCACACTCCTGACTGCACTGAGTCCACTGGAGATCTTTATGGGTTGATCAGAGTACAGGGACACTTCTTCCATGTCCACTGCCAGAGTCACATCACCTCGCATCTCGGGCTCCTTCTCCGAGGGGKTGGTGTCGGGGTTCATGAGCAACACAGTGTCTCCAAAATGAACAAACCCATCTGTAGATAACGACAGCTCGACCTAAATTAAAATGTGTATAATATTTTATGGAATTATCTGATCCTAATACCAGCATATAAATTCCGTAGCATTCTTAGTGCATGCAGAACAATAATAAGAGCTCTACCTAAATTAGAATGTATATAATATTTTATCTGATCCTAATACCCAAAAGTATTTTAGCACATAAATTCCGTAGCATTCTTAGTGCATGCAGAACAATAATAAGAGCTCTACCTAAATTAGGATGTATATAATATTTTATCTGATCCTAATACCCAAAAGTATTTTAGCATATAAATTCCGTAGCATTCTTAG